AAATAATCCCATCAAATATTTTAGATAAAACTTTAAGTTTGTTTAATTTCGACTTCTGTTAAAAACAAACTCTGGAGCACGTGGTTATTACTGATGCTGTGACAGATGATTCCACAGCGACATCTTGTGGTCGGGAGGAGACACTGCAGCTCAGGTACTTCCTGGTGCTGATGTTAGAGCTGTTCGCAGGTTGTTGTTGTTTTGTTGTTGTTGTTGTTTCGTCGGTTCCGTGAACTCAGCGACGAGAGACTGAGCGACAACAGGTTAGACAAACATTTCTGAACAGATATCAAACTGGTTTGTAACGCGACAGCTAACGGGCTTCTTTTAAACCATGGGTCCTGTCATGCTAGCGCAGTTAGCCGAGGCACCGCTAGCGAACGGCTAATTTGAGCTAAGTAGCCAGTTAGCTTAAGTCAGGGAAGAAACGAAACTACCGACGTGTCAGTGTTCGAACTGTTGATAACTGACTCCGGTTGATAGCTAGAGAGTGGAGCCAAGTCACTGATCAGATTCAACTGACTTCAACATCACAACAAACAGAGCTAGCGTAATGTTAGCTCTGGGTCCCTGCCATAGGAAATACATGAATAGTTTATAAAGTGTGTATCTCTACATACAGTTTGTTTTCAGTCTGTGGTTTGTGCAGTGGCTCTGAAAGTCAGTTCACCTTTAGTTCAAGTGTAAGTTAAAACCCAGTGAGATGAATAGAAAGATAGATAGATAGATAGATAGATAGATAGATGGATGGATAGATAGATAGATAGATGGATAGATAGATAAATAGATAGATAGACAGACAGATAGATAGTCAAACAGATAGATAGACAGAATTACTTTTTCCCAAATTGAGATTTTTTTGCGTTACAGCCGCAGAATTAAAATAGCTCAAAATAGAATGTAATAAACATCAAATGTACTAAAAAATGTACATATTCAGAAGTAAATTATACGGAATAAAGTACTAGAATGCACAGTAAAGTACTAAATATAATAGAACAAAGAATAAGCCTACAAAGAAGAGACTAAATAAAAGAGATGACAAACTACGAACAAGAGACAAGTGTGTAAAGCTGCAGTTTGCATTAAAAGATAATGTAAAGGTAGGTAGGAATATGACATTCCAAATAAAATATGAATATAAGATGTGTCTGAACACAAAATGTGTTTATGCACTTGTTCTTATTTAATCTCTTATTTTGATGCTACTCCTTCATTTGCTGATGTAGCCTATATACACTGCTTGATGTTCTAAAATGAACAGACCTGATGAATGATCAGCTCTCACTTCAGGCCTTAGATAAAAATCCGGCCTATCTGCTGAGTGTTTCTAGGTCAGATGGATGAATGCAGTGTTGTTAGGTAGAGGATCCACACGTTGTGACCCCAGCACTTCAAGGGAAGAGGATGAGACAGAAATTTAATTAAGAGGGAAGAAGAGGAAACAGGTCCGCGTGGCCTCAGGGACCGGCACAACCTCCAGGAGCGGATAGTTCAAATTAGAGCAGCGCTGTCAGTCCGCGCGCACCTTTGACCCCGGAGATTTCATTGAACAAAACAAAACCCTGTTTAGTGCAAAAATCAAAAAATCTTTCTCTCTTGCATGATGATCCGAGGGGCGTATCCCACTGTGTGTACCTGCTAATCTGAGAGGTCCTCCCTTTCCACCGCGGAGGTCACTGCAGCGACGCCAGGTGCAAATCAGAAGCGTGTGTTCCCCGCAAGCTCCTCTGCACGATCCCGCTGCGCAATTGAAGTTGATTCTGCAGAGAGAGCGAGTCCCGGGTTCACGTTTCGCCTCAGCTTTGTAAACCTAGATCATGCAGGGGGTCACCGGGAGGTTGAAGCGTCCCTGCTGCAGCCGATCGTCTCCAAAGATCAGTTTCAATGTAATGGCAAAGGAATGTCGCCATATTGCACGGAGCCTTGGATCCAATTAGAGCCAATTTGAGAGTGGGACGTCGTTTTTGTTTTATTCAGGATCATTGTTTGTGCGCGTGTACTTTTTATTGTTGCAGGCATGTTCTTCAGCTACTGTTCAAAGTGCTGCTTGGTGCGTTAGAGGGAAATTACAGGACATGAGATCACACCAGTATATCCAGGTTCCAACACAGTTTATTAAATAATAATAATAATAATAATAATAATAATATAATTCTAATATAAATTATTTCAAATTGGTTTCATCCTAAAAATGCAGTAAAATTTATATTAATCCTAATGTAATTTGTTCAGTATATGTCAACTGAATGGAAAATCCAATGTCTGGTCAATATTCTCTCTCTCTCCCTCTCTCTCTCTCTCTCTCTCTCTCTCTCACACACACACACACACACACACACACACACACTAATCAAGTCTTAACACTCAAACAGTGAAAGTGGGTCAGAAAGTGAGAACCGGCCAAAATGTTGTCATTTTCTCAAGATGACCTCACGCCATAAGGTCACGGCTCAAGATGGTCTTCACAAAGATATCTGTTCAAGTACACACACACACACACACACACACACACACATGGTGTCCATGTTGTCCACACCATCATGTCTGCTGAGGTATCCCTGGCTCCCTGTGGTGTGTGCATGTCGAAGACCCCGGTGTTATTGATCCTGATTGGGCCTCACAGGAGGAGATTCCGTCCTGCCATTGACCCACAGTTCTCCATGTTTCCACCCGTCTCTCAGATCATCAGAGGCAGCTGCCTCCTCCTCCTCCTGCCGGCCGGCCTTGCTTGCGTGAGGTTTCTGATTGTCAGATGGAAAAGGTGGGGGTAAAAAGGGGAAAATGAACTTACTACAGGTTTTTTGCAAAATCACTAACAGGTCTTGCCTGACTAGGCCGCACTGACATTTTTCTGGCTTGGTGACTGTCAAAACATCCCCCCCATGCGTTCATGCGCTCCCTCCTTCTCCTCAGAAAGCCCGTGGCTCACAGGCTGCTCTCCTCTTCAAAGTCAAACTTATCTGCCATGGGGCCTGTGTTGAATTTTTGCGATGATGACTGCCCAGTAGTTATGAACTCCTCGTACGAGTCCTTTTTCTCCTCATCGCTGCCCAAGCATTTGAAAAGTGTTGTAGCGAGAAAGGAGTAGAAGATCATGACAAACAGGATGTAGAAGTAAGCATTGTCATACGACTCCCTGGAGCTGGAGACGGCGGAGACTGGACCAGTGCTGTTGGAAACAGTCGTGTTGATTTGGTGCCCGTCGATGTCCATGCTGTTGTCCTCCACCATCTGCTGGCATCTGGACAGTACAGAAAGCAGGAGGGTCCGGTTCATGGGTTTCATATCAAAATAGAAAGAAGCAGAAAATGTTCACAGAATCAAAGAAGAAAATAGAACAGGGACCAACAGAGAAAGGACTATAGATGGAAAGTGTGAGAGGCAGGCACTCACCACTTTAGGAAAGGAACGCTGTGAGTCACCCACCCACTCTTGAAGTGACTTGATAACGCAGTAACACAGAGATAAAGCCCATTCCTTTTCAGCTCTATTGGATGCAGCCAGAAAATCATAAGCTCCTTTGGAGAAACATTTGTACAGACTTGTTTGTCATTTTGATCTCAGTGGACGTTCTGGCTCAAAGTATTTTCCAAATCTCCTTTTTAACTCTTCCCCCCGCACCCCCCATCTGATTCTCTTTTTTTTTTCCTGTCTTGTCTTCTTTGTGCTTTTTTCCTTCACTTTCAATTCGGGGGTTTGGAAGCGGCAGAGACGCTTGGATTGTTGTCAGCTCCGGTCAAGTAGTCTACTCATTTCAAAGGGTGCTGGGGTCAGAGGTTAAGTTGTCTCCAGTGTGTTGCTGCTTGACTGACACTCCGCTCTAAAGCAGCCCCTTTGGCTTTTTCACTGATTGTGTCTTACAAGTTGAGCACTTGTTAAAAAAAAAAGAAAAGTTTGTCGAGAGTAAAGAAAATAGTGAAATGTAATCTTACTTTGATATTATCACGTTGGACAAACATAAACTGAGCCTGTAGACACACAAACAAATGTGATAACACAGATACATTCACACAAACATGAAAATCAAAATGCCACAAAAATACACATATTTCGTGTATTTGCAGTATTTTTGACGGATGCTGTGAATGACATGAACAGCTGCATACCTGATCCCTAAACCTCCAGAGGAGTGATAAAAGCAAAAAATCCACTGCTGATATATGTAACCTTTTCAGGAGTCTGCCAACTGGGTGAACAGTGTTTTCGTTTCTGTTCGGTAGCCAGAGCCAAAACTCCTTTGAACCCTGTCCGGTCATGTCAGTGACCGATGTCCCTGTGTGTCTGTGGGCCGCTGTGCTGATATAATTTACAACAGCTCTGCTTTAGTCATTAAGGGGTGTGAAGGAGCCCCCAGGGAGCAGGAATTTGTCCAAAAGGAGTGTTTATAAAAGGGGATATATTTATGATTTAGTGCTGCAGGGGTGTGGATGAGGCACACGGCTCAGAGTAGAGTAAGTACTGTCGCGATAAGGTATGATGTGAAAGAAAGAAAGAAGGTGCACTGCTCACAGAATGTAGATATTGTCGCTATGCTAAAATGATTAAAAGACAGAAAGAAAGAAATACTTTCTGTACATTTAATTTAGATATTTCTAAATAAATGTCTTCTCCACCCTGCTGGGAATACAATTCTGGGAGACAAATGGTTTAAATGGCCTTAAATGTGTCAAATGTAAATGTAATGAAATACCGTCCATGTGTATAGGGTTTTAATCCTGGAGTGTAAACTTCGGGGATGTGACCTCAGCCTTCGTATCCCATAAATGAAACCAACATCAAGTCACAACTCATTTTTAGATACTTTATTATAAATAGTAAATAATGCTGTACTGTACACAAAACGTCTCACCACAAAATCATTTTTACGCTGGTGTAAATGGAAATTATACAAAAGAAAGAACATGAATATTGGACACTGTATAAGACTCACTTAAGCACTTATAACAAGACATAACATTTGAGCACTAAATAAATAAGAGATGGAACTAGTTCCTGGTGAAAACTAACACATGCAAAAAAACAAAACAAAAAAACGTCAAACTGAATATTGTATTGTATTGAGATTTTTTTTTTTGGTTTGATGACACCACAACTACCATTTTGCACCGCTTGACGATTTCCCCTGATTGGTCGATGCACGCAACCCAAAATGAATGACATTGAAAAGAGAGAGCATGTTTTATTGTTTGATGATATAATCAGGGACATTTGAGGTATGAATGTATTGCACTTTCTTTGGGTTGCAGTGGTTTCGCTATGACTCCGTCCGCACCTTCCTGTGGTCACATTTTTATCTCCTATGACTTTAACAAGCATAACATCGGTGTAGGTTTAATATCATTACCCTAAGACATTGTGGTGAAGAGGTCCTCAGGAGACCATCGTGGCTGATCGCAACACGTTATCGCCATCAGCCATAAGAATCCACCCCTCAGCTCCCTATCCAGTCAGCCCCAGAAGCACAGGGGGGCCCAGGCAGTCTGCCTCAGCTTCCATCTCTGCCACGTATTACAACAACCAAAACACAGAATCTTGAATGTATTTACTTCCCTCTCCCCACCCTCCTCTTTTCCTCCTTCAGCGTTGACCACAGACCATGCCAGGTCCTCGGAGCGTGACGTTGACGTATAAGTCAAAGCGAGTGCCAGGTAACAGGAGATGCTGCGCCTTTGGTCCTAATTATTCCAGTCCAACCCCCCATCCCTCGCCATCACTTAACCGCCATCTCAATTGGTTTCCTTCCTCGCTGTAGGAGAAACACTTCAACCCCTTTTTCATCCACCCAACTCTCTCCTGCTTGCTGTCCTCAGGGCTGGGAAGGTTTGGCAAAGGCAGTGAGCATGGGAGGGGGGTGCAGTCTGGACATGAATCTCAGACTAGCTCGGGAGAAGCCTCCTGCTCAGGCCATGTCGGGGGGCTTCATATAATGAAAGGCACCTGAGGAGGACAAGGAAAGACAGATCGGGAGGGTTAAAGAGATTCAGTTTGCTTTTTATTTAACGGCTTACATCCCCTGATAAAGTTAAATGAGAGGTGTGGTGTTAGAGCAGGTCAGAGTCGGTTTGAATGGAAAACAAGGTTTTGGGTGAAATAAGAAAACTCCTCGTAGGGGTCCTCGGCTCTGCTCCACTGATCAATAACAACTCTAAATGTGACCTCCAGTGGCACACATGGTTCTAATCCTGGCCTGCCAAGGGCCATAATCGGCCCCTGTTAAAGAGCCCCTAACCCTCCCCTTGTACACACACACCTACATGTCCACACTCACGTATACGGACACACACATTTCACCAAACCCACAAAACCTATATGTGTGTCTCTCCCAGGCCCGGCTAAATTAATGACATCAAGATGTTGCCACTGATGTCGACATGTGGTGGTGTACCTCAGATCAGCCCTCAACAACAGCAACATGCACCCCTCCATCCTGTCAAACATGCTTTGGGAAGTGGCTCCTTTCATTTGGCCGGCGATCTTTGTAACGCAGGGGTCATTACATGGCTAGCTGAGGTAGACTAAGGGTTTGATGGGGCAAGCTCATCATACGGGGTCATGAAAGGACAGAGGGAAAATGCGTGCGTTGGGCTGCACGATCTGGACGTGCCTCTGCACCGAGCCACGTGGATAGTCCAGTGATGGTAATGTAAACTGAGGTAACCCGCCAGCTAGCGCTCTTTAACATACATGTAATTTCAGCGCAGCCCCTGGGTGATTTGAGACGCTAGCTCATCAGAGACGTCTGCGCAATTAACCCGGGTTGTGAGTCAGAAAATCGAACGTAAGTAGCTAAACCAGAGGAGGGGTCACAAGAGGACATGACCGCCAATCAATTATATCCAATTTATATTCAATTCTAGAAAATGAGAATCCAGGGTATTTAAAACTCACCTTGCTCTGACTGTACTGTCCATACTGGTAGGATGGGTGGTGGTCCACGGCATAGGCAGGGGAGGTGTAGGAAGGTGGGCAGTAAGACTGGGTGCTGGGAATTGTGGGCATGCTGGTCAGGCCCGGTAGAGTCTCCAGGCGCTGGGAGCCATGACAGCTGGCGGCCATGCCTCCGTTTGGCTCCAGGCCTCCGGTCAGCGGGGAGAGGGCGAAGTCGCTCTGGGACTGGTGTGGCACTCCACCTGGATTCAACAGGCCCATCACCTGAGGGTGGAACAATGGAGGAAATTGATTATTAATATTTAATTGAATTGTAATACATGAAAATTAAATATAACTCAAAGTCAATATGGAAATGACATAAAAAAATCTAAGGCTCCACAACTCCATCAGAAATACATCAGCACTGGCTTCCCTCACACGTGGTTTCTCTTCTCTCTGCTCGACTGATACATTTTATTTTATTTTATCTTGCTGTTAAACCTTTAAACTTTTTTACAACTGGAAAATATTCGTTTGTGATGTGTTGGATGTAGAATATAACAAGATTTGTATGTAGAGAAAGGTTCTTCTCTTAATGTCTCTCTCTTCTAATTTCTGTTATTTCCCTAAATTCACCGTGTCCTTCTGAGGCCAGGGTAAAGAGGCCAAAGGGCCAAAGGGTACGTGGGAATGAGAGGCAAGGTGTGTTTGTGTATGTGACAGAGCACTACTGCTCCAATGTGTGGAATCGTGTGTGTGTGTGTGTGTGTGTGTGTGTGTGTGTGTGTGTAGTAGGCACTTTTTGCTCTGAAGTCAGGGGTGTAGGGGTATCAGTGATACATCGTGAACAGCTGCACGTAGGTTTGCGTGAGAAGCAAAGTCATGAAAGTGTCTCAAAAGTGAAGGTAGAGAGAGAATTAAAGTCCATGTGAAGGAAAATAGAGATAAAGCCGAGCAAATACGCTTAAAATAACAAAATAACCTGGAGAGTAAAGGAAAACAAAAGAAATGGGCGAAGAATAAATAACACTGAGTAATGTCAAAACAAGGATTTCTCACACACACACACACACACACACAAATACATTCACACCATGTAACCTCAGGTGCCTTTTCAGTCTGTAATTTACAGTTGGTGTGATCTGACCTCACATATCTGACAAACAGCAAAGTGCCCCGACAATAAATCATTTGTGCCACTGCAGGGAATGTGTGCACAGCCTTGTGCACTGTCTGTTATTATTATTTGAATATTTCTTCCATCCAATATAGAATATCTTCATTTTTATTCATGCAGGTGCATAGATTCCCTAGAATACACATTGAATCTCACCAGGCCTCAGAAAAAAAATAAAATCATTAAATAATTAAATTCATTGCTGTTTATCCTCACAAAATCAAACAAGAATAAAGTCTGTTTCTGTTTGCTTGTATGAAAGCAAACATAAGTTTGAGCGGCATGTGCATCAACAAGCTCCTGCGTTCATGTGCTCTCTCCGTCCACAACTGAAACAGCAGCAGTTTCCCCCAACGCTGTGTCTGTTTTGAGGTTGTTCCGCGGATTAGGTCTCAGGGGGGTGCAAATCCCGACCGCTCGCTTCCTTGGTGAGAAAGGATTGCTTTGGTATGCACCAGATCAGCAGTGAGACGCCCGAGACACTCAGCACCACGGGGGAAACCACCGGCCTGACCGCTGTTTTTAAAAGTCGAGCTAACTGCTCACACAGAATATCGCCTATCTAAAGTAAACCTTATCCATATCAAAACTCCGCCACGCTCTAATGTGACCATATCTGGAGTGAAATGAACCCCTGATTCTTCATAAGAGTAGATAGGGTAGAGCAGCTTTTATAGACAAATTTGGAGTTCAGATAACAAGACAATTCCAGTGAGGGTTTAATACAAAATAGACAAACCTATGTTATGGAAACTGAAAGTGTAAAGTCTTTGAAGAGCACAGAGGTCTTCATGTATGAACTATCAATATCACAGTTAATCAAGTTAATCAATTCTCATTTTAATATCAGGAAATTAATTCTACCCTCATCTGAAATAGAGAGAGGCGCGTTGCAATATACATTCAAACAGCTGCAATGAATATGTGAATTAAAACAAATTAGCCAACAAAGTGAGTCATTTGCATAAATTACACACTTTGTTGCGAGAGGAAAGATTACTTCGTACCAATCAATTAAGACACTGGAACGTTCTGTGATTGCAAATCCAGACGGGGAAAACATTCTGGGTGCGCTGTCTCCTGTGCAAGATGAGCTGTCCGTTCTGTGTGGAGCTGCCCGTTAAGGTTAATGTTGAAACCATCCATGAGGCCGCGGCACCTTTGGCCTTTTTATTGGAGCTGAAGCCACTCGGTGACCCTGTGGGTATGTGAACCCTAGCCGTGCACTCGGTTACAGGACGGCAGCTTCGAGCAGGAATGCAAATGCTTCAACAAACTGAAGTATAAATGATGAGTGTAGTTGAAGCCACCGTGCTTGTAGCTCGCTGTGTGTCAGCATCATTCTCCCGTCTCCCTATATTTTTATACATCCAATAAAAGTCCCCAAACAATGATGCATTTAAAAGTAAACATGATGAGTTATTGAGAAGCTAAATACAAATTTGAGTCAGTTTCTCCAGCTCATATATCAAAGCAGTCAATTATACCTTCAGCCACAATGGTGCCACCCTCTCCTCTCTGACCGTGCGTCCACAGCCACAACAAAGCTCCTCTGTTTTTTCCAACATATATACATCCTCAGGCATTCAAACAGTAACAAACATGCCCGAGGCAGTTTTTTTATCGGTGCCTAACAGGAGTCTGAGATTCTCTCTCATGGGAATTAGTACCCAGCATGCATTGCATGTGGGCTGGCCACCCTTTGTGGTGGTTAAAAGCTCGTTTTACGCCTGTTAGTCCATCTTCTGGGCCGGTATGGAGCCACTGATGGACACTGATGACTGTGTAATCGACAATAATTATCTTTTCAGTTTTGATTTGTGTCATCATCGGACATCCATACATCCCTCCTCATGTTTGGTCCTCAATGGCTCACCGGAGACTGAAGTTAGCCACATTTCGAATTCATCAAACGACCCATCAGAATAAACAAAAATGAAAAGCAACCGTGTTTTTCAGCTTAACAAGATTTCATCAATGTCACCGCAATGACACCTCCGAGGTCACACTGAGGAACGTGTTAGCCGCACATATGGTGAATTTCCAAAACAGCACGGATCACTAAATACCTCCTGTTTCCTGGTATAATGTGTGTGTGTTTATTTGTGCATAGATCTATGTCCATGTCGGCAAATACATATTATAAGATATATTTCTGTACATCTATAAAAGATGTAAGGACAAACCTGTGGCGAGAGGCCGTTGCTGATGGTGGGGTTCACGGCGTTGCCGTGCCCCGTCGTAGTCACAAAGCTGTCTGAGTATCCTGAGAAACCGTGACGTCCAGAAGACAGGCAGTATGCGGAGCTTGCATCCTGAGAGCCCGCTGACGAGCTGAGGCCGCTCTGGTGCACAGACGTGGGCGGCAGCGGCTGCGGTCTGTGGACTGTGCTGTGCTGCTCGGATACTGTTGAGAATCAAACATTCTACTTATAACCCTGTGCTGCTAAATTGAGAAAACAAATGCTGCTACTGTTGCATACATTTAAAATAGGTTTGTGTGTGTTCAGTTGGACGCACCTTGAGCTATGGAAGTAGGAGGGTAAGGGCTGTCGGACAGCTGATAGGGCTGCAGGCCTGACATGGCTGACGGAGGGAAACCACTGGGGATGAGGTGGTTGAACGCCATCAGCTGACTGGCTCCAGCTTGCTTCCTCCACCTGGCTCTTCTGTTGCTGAACCACACCTGAAGGAACAACAGAGACCGAGAGTGTTTATTTTCATTTTACCGAAGAGAATAACTTGTAGACTGCATACATGTTCTTCTCTATTTCCGCGTGTGCTTGGCACGTGTAAATGTATACATGCATGTGTGTGTGAGGCCTCTATGACCTACTACAGGGAGCTGAACTGATAGAGATCTTAACATCTGGAGCGTGCAGTGAAACCGCAGACATTACATCTTTGTAAGCTACTGCCAGTCCCCGGGTTCAGATAACGCCACAGGGCCAGTTACAGCTGTTAAAGCCTATATTAGCGTACTATCTAAATGAGCAATCTATTCTGAGATCTTTGCACAGCCCCAAATAAGATGCTGCCCTCACACACAGTGGGCACAGTGTATCTGTGTTTGTCTGTGTCTGTATGTGCAGCGAAGAAGGAGGCGGGTGCGGGGTCAAGGGTTGCTTGAAAGCGAGGGGGCCATGTCTTATGGTTGTAAGGAATGTGTGGCAACATCCCCGGGCAATTTAAAGGCCACATGACACATATCTGTGACAGACCAACACACTGCGCTGCTCTGCTCTGCTGGGGCTTGGGGGTGGGGGGTCATTTTAAGGTTTGAAGAGTGCGTCTGTGCGTCTGTCTAACCTGCACTCGAGCCTCTGTCAGCTTGGCCCGCTGAGCCAGCTCCTCCCGCGTGTAGATGTCAGGGTAGTGTGTGCGCTCAAAGGCCCTCTCCAGCTCCTCCAGCTGCTCCGCCGTGAAGGTGGTCCGACTGCGGCGCTGCTTCCTCTTCAAGGGAAGGCCCGGCTCTGAATCCACGTCAGAGCCCTCGTCTGAGTGACTGGCTGAAATTGCAAAGAACAAACAAGGGACAAGAAGACAGACTGTTACTTTAAACATTCAGAGGGGTCCAACTGAGAAAGACTGAGTTGAGCTACAATACCCAGACCCGAGACAATAGATTATGCTGAGTTCGACACATGGGACAGAGCCACCTCAGATTGTGTCCTCCTGCTCCCTTAAACTCTTCAGTAGTTCCCGAGAGGATCAAAAGCCAGAAGCTGCTTGAACATGGATTAAAGAGGACCAGATCCCTCCAGGGCGTCGCTTTTCCTGGGACTCTGAGTCTCTCCCAGTCTTAGCCATGCTGTGCACTGTGCCTGTAGGGTCCCACAGTGGAGAACGGGCAGCCTTTTGCAGGTGCATCTTAATCTGTTTGTTCAGTTGAGGGTAGAGGAGAGCGACTGGGTAACTGGGAGACAGCTATTGGGGCCTAATTCAGCAGAAGAGGGAAGTCAATGAAGGCTAGAGACTAGAAACAGAGGACTATTGCTGCATTTCAGGGGGAGGTTACCCATCTATTAAATAATGATTAGGCTCCACAAAGTAGCGTGACAGCCTGCTATTGTCCGCCATTAAATGTCTGCGATCCCCCCATCTCTTTCTCCGTCATATACTCACAAACATGCATCTGCTACTGCGTCTGAGCTGTGGGCTTTCACTCAATAAAAGCAGTCTATGACAATGTGTCCAACACAGATGGACACAGAGGCAGAAAGAGCTGGAATCCACTCCCAAATCCACCCCAGAGAGACCTCTTAAACCCGAACGGAGAGGGGTCACTGCACCTTTTCCTCACTCCAGTCTCTGCAGCAAACACCTATATTTACGCTGAGGGAGAGGGAATAAGGGAGCCTGAGGCGGCGAGACAGGTGTAAGCAGCAGAAAGGCCTCAGCAGTGGAGAGTCTGGCCTGTTTCCCCCAGACTGCTCATTCTCCCTCTGCCCTCTGTAGATTTAAAGATTTAATTAAAAAGTGCCATGTCAGACATGGAGGGGGGTAGCAGGGATCTCCCCCCGCTTGCCTCTGGAGCCTCTGGAGCCGAAGCAGGAAATGTTTGTGCTGGTTGCCAGTGTGTGTTTGACCAGGCATTACACACGGATTTGGTCCCTGGGAATGTTACTGTGCTCCGGACTGCCGGCACACGAGATTATGATGCTGGGAAGACGTCTTTATTACAGGGGGACTCAGGGTGCCACACCGGCATAAAGGATCATGTTGGGGGAAATGGCTGAATGCTCGGAAATACGTTTGGAACATGCACAGTGAGTTTGGGATGTGGTTTACTTAAGTTTGGATGCAGGTTCAGTTCAGTTCAAATTTTAGGCTACATCCACAATAGTGTGTGCATCAACTCTTGGACAAGCCTGGCGTTAACACTACTCCAGAGTTGTAGAGCAGCTGTTGGTTAAATTCTGAGATGAGCTATTATTTGAGCAAATCCTGTGTACACTGGCACGTGCATGCCCAGTGCATGTGATATATGTCTTCAGATCGTTTGAGCTTGAAAACACTGCTTTCAAAGGAAAATGGATGTATAGTCTTAAAATACAACAGGCATGAGGACGGGGTCACACAGCATGAAAATAAATCTGTTTTGTCTGGATTAGTGTAACTTCCATTAATCAGCACATCACCAAACACCATAGGATGAGACTGGGAAGCTAAGTAACAAGTGGTGTCATTGCTATTTTAATGATGGCTGAGAAAAGAAAGAAAAAGACAGAGGACCAATGATGGCGCAGAAACGAAAAAGATTCCTGAGGGAGGGAAGGAGAGCTCATAAAACTCCTCCGAGGAGAAAGCTCCCCATTGGCACTGTAACTCATGTTAACTGCAGGGTGGGGGTGGATCTCTCCTCCTTTGCCCCCTTTATTTCTGTCTTTCCCTCTCTTTTTTCTTTCTCTCCTTGTGTTTATTATTAGTAACTAGAGAGAAAACACTCCGTCACAGACTCTCCCTTAATGGCAAATGACAGTGTTGCTTTTGTCATCCTCTGGCTCGCGTTTTCTCTTTTGCGCTCTTCCTCCTCTCGCTCTTTGTTGTTCTTTTTTTCTCTTTTTTTAGAAATGATATGGCCGGGCCTTTGTATCTGCAGCAGGGAAAAGCCTGTGGCAGGGCCAGGACTCTATTGGGCGAATTACCACGCTCCATCTGTAGGAGCCATCAGGGACGCCCGGGCCCGCATTCAGGGGCCTGTCACCTGCCCAGCAGGGGAGTGGGAGGGGGGCTGTAGGGGGAGATGGGGGCTGTAGGGCCAGGGGATGAGTGGGGGAATGAAGGATGGGAGGGAGAAAGGGGGGGCACAAAGGGGTCCGGAGAAGGGCTACTGGGGGATGTTGAGGGGCACAGCAGGGGAGCACCCCTTCATCCCCTCCCTCCACGGCCTGAGGGGCACAAAGTTGGGGGATGGTGGGGTTGAGGGGGTTGACATGAGGAGGAGATCGGAGGCTGAAGGCACCTGAAGACGATGCTGGGGAAGGGGTGTGGGGTGCCATGCTATGGAGAATGAGGGGGTGCTGGTCATTCTTAAAAGCGGGAGCTGTCCCCTCCATCTCATGCATTCACTTCTCTCCCCTCTTTCTCTTTGCTCGCCCGCCAGTGCTGCGTCCACATCTTTGACGTTTTCAAAATGAGGCTCCTACACGCCGGCGTGGATCAGTTTTGAGGCACGCTGACGCAGAGGCAAGCTTGTTCCCACACATTCCCCGCAACAAACGGCAGAAGAGGATAGCAAACACACAAAGGGAGGCCTCGACCTCCTTACTTAAACACCCAAATCAAATTTTACGCTGCAGCTAAAGCACTGGGGAGCAGAAACTGCTCCATAGCTGCTCACAGTTTGGCTGCGGCTCTGACAAGGATCTTAACAGAAAGATAGATTATTATCCCTCCAGCGGAAATTGAAGCTGCTGCAGAATTATCCATAAAACAGAAGTATAAAAACAAAGTAGGCTTCAGGTTATTAAACTAATAACAAGCTACTTTAGATATTGGAATGGATAGTGGGTCATTTATTCACACTAGTCCAGGAGGTTGTATTTATCATAGTTTGGTCGATGTGCAGCATTCAACAAGTGAATTCAACAGGTTCTTTTCACTGATCAAATTCAACAAGTGTATTTGCAGGTGTTTAAGTGTCGGCACACAAACAACACAAACGCTCAAGGAGAAGCAGATACGACCACAGATGAGTGAGGAAAAGAAAAACGCTTATTGATCAAGAGAGCAGACTGACAGGCAGTGAAGATAAACTCCAGAGGGTCACAGATGTGAACCGAGGGAACGTCCACTTCCATTAGCTTCACCTGCAGCGAAAGTGCCTCAAACAGACCCCCCCCCCCAAAAAAAAAGAGAAAGAACACAAGTGAGGATTCCAACCGCGAGAATAAAGACTGCTCTTGTTTACGGCAGAGACTACAGTGGCCAGGACTTGCCTTGCCAAGCATTCATCCCCCTCCCACCCGCTCAGGAGATGTTAATACGAAGAGACATGCACATGCACACGGATCTATATATGTGCACACATGTGCATATACATTCAAACACGCAGCCTGAAATGGCAAAAAAAACGAGGTGGAAAAAGTGACAAAGTGTTATCTTATCCTCAATTCGAAATAATGTAGACTGATTTTAAAGGAAGGAGAATGAGCAAGGAATTAGATGAAGAGAAAAATAAAGAAATTAACGGACGGGGGATGAAGAGCCGCAGCGAGAAAGAGACAGAGAAGTGGAGCATATGGGGAAGTTTATAGTCTTGTGTTGGTAGGGGCTGGCTGGCCCTTCCTCCAGAGGCCGTTAATAGAGAAGGTAATTGAGCTGGTGACATGTGTTCGCAACACAAAACAAAGGGCAGAAGAGACAAATGAACTAGTTATTTGCCCAGGGAAGTAGATCTGGCCCTTTCAGGCCACGGAGCACGGTGCGAGTGGGCCACTGAATAAAATAGTGGCACGCCACATAGAGCCAGGGCGAGCAGATGCACTGGAGGAAAAGAATGGTTAACTGACAGCTTATGGGCTCAGCTGGGGTTAACAGTTGAAGGGGAAAAAAATGGGGAGTGAGTGGGCTGCTCACTTGACTTGCTAAAAAGCCCCCAGGAACCCGCAGCTGCCTGGGAAAGGACGGGGAGGGGGTCAGATAGAGAGAATGAGAGAGGGAGATGATGATGTGATGGGCAGAGAAAAAATGAGTGAATGAGCGCAGGAGGTTGGCACTTAACGGACAAAGAGCTATAGCTGGCGATATGACGCGGAGAGATGTATCTCTGTCTAATATCGGTGAAGTGACAAAAAGCCACAAAATGGCCCTGCGCAGCTATTATGTGTGCCCAGTGTGTGGTGGTTATTATTTAGTTCCACTGTGGTGCAGTTAGGTGACAGTTTCACGGTGGCATTTCCACCCTTGGTGCTGGGACAAAGCTACAGCACAGAGCCCACGCAGGGCTGCAGCAACAGGCCAGTCTGCCGCACGTTCCACTCGAACAGAGACTAACCAGCTCAGTCCAGCCTTGTTACGGCCACGCCGACAACCCGACCACGCTCCACATTCAGTATTATACACTGTAAGACAAAGGTTCATGTCTCGTCAACGAAATTCCCATCGTGTGACGTCACGTCTGTCAGCTCTCGTCTTTTCTCAAACATTATCATAACCTCCTGTTCCTGGGGCCTGATAGTTCTAACAGTGAAGTGACCCCAGGTTAGCCCCTGACCTTTTCACAGCTACCGCACGGTGCTGCAGTGAAAACGGCCTCACATCTGACCCCTCCAACAAAACTTCACAGACGCTCAAGAGAGAGAGAAACTGTCATTACATTCCATGCCTCTTTTTTTGTTACCCTACCTACTACACTCGTAATTTGGGTCTTGCTTTTGGTTTTATGAGCTTGGCACATTTGTGGACATTTTCAGCGTCAACTGCTGCATGAATGCTGGTGTTTGGACAAAAGTATATGTAACTCTGATATACTCTCATATATTTTTTTTAAATCCTTACGTCTTGA